TATGGCTATATTTCTTCTTCAGCAGTAGCGAGCAACGTCGCCCACAAGTATAACTACGAAGGGAGGAAAAGACCTCAACATCAATTAAAATATAGGCCGACAATACTAGTTCAGTTATTTAAGTGAATTGCTCACATGTGTCTTGTCGAAGAAATCTGAATATGTTCTTGATTGAGGCTGTCTTATGCCAGACCATCACAACATCCTCGGAATGTCGTCACCAATCTTACTAGAGAATCGAGCTCCCAACTCTGGGATTGTCTCGTACACCCACAACTGCAACACATTTATAACAGTTTTTACCATACATGGAGAGACAAAAAGATGTGCAATGCATAACACTTAAATAAAATGAGGACACATGTGTATAGCAAGAGGAAATTCGTACAACGTGTAAGACATCCGGTCACAATCGTTGACTTTTGCCAGGTTTGCCTTTCTTCCTCATCCACGAATTAGTGATTTGATAAGAGGCTTAAAACATACTGTCCCCCATGGATAGGCATTGAAGAAATCCAAGTCGTCCACAATGGAAAGAGTATCGGGATGTATCCCCACATTCCGGTCTCTACAATTGAATACCCCTTCAATAATTAGTGCCAACCCAAGCTTGTAACGATCATTACGGTTGGAACATTTGAGGAAAACATTCTCTAGGTCGCTACAAGTAATTATGTCTCTATTGGTAAACAGTTTGTCCCGTAGTCGACATTTCTCAATGATTTTTTCGGAAGCCGGCCCTTTAGGTAAGTCGCCGCACTTCAAGCTAGTAATTAATGCGAAACTCAAGCAATCCGAATCTTGTAAGCCTTTCGTTTACCTTGAACCAAGCTTCAAAACGTTTTGAACAAATCACAGATCTATTTACCATTTCATGAATTAATTGGGCAGATAATTTGAGTTTTGGCAGCTTTGCAACATGGCCTATACAACTTTCCTCAAATGTATGCTTTTGTTGTTAGTCAAACTTGTTGAGGACAATTGTTATGTACTTGGTGTTGCTAACTTGTGAAATTTGGCCAGAAACGCGCTCTTCCTCCTGAATTTTATAGCGGTGTGAGGAAAGCATAAGAACCTTTACGAAAGAAGAGTGAGATATGCAGTAATAAAATCCATGTTTTGCGAAATCCATCATAAGATAGCAATATAGCATAATACTCCATGACGACATTTTTGAAAAGGCAATTGGAAACTTAACTTAATACAATATAATAATTAAAAATTTTAAGAGGCAACATTTATATCATTTTGCATACTTTTCATGGATACAAGAAAGACGAAAGTGTATGAAATATAAGTATGACCTATATATTGGACTTCACTATGTAGTCGTTATCAATATCAAATGAGGATAGAGTGTG